AATTAGAATAAATTTTAATTCCCATATCGAGTCATGCAATGTACGTACAATTATCTTTTAAAATTTGATTGATATTGCATACATTTTTCCATTTACAATTCAAATAGTATTTTTAGATTCTTTTTCTTTCGATTTCTTCGTATTACGTCCCTTAATAAACGTATAACGAAAAAAGCTATTGCTTTTTAAAGATGTGGCCCTTTGATAAGATTTTATCTCTCCGAGATATCTTATTTCTTGAGATATGCAAATCATGTTACGAGTAGCACGAAATGTTTACGTACAAGGAATAAGGCATCCACAGTTACGCATTAATATTCAAACACTATTTCTGAATTTATTACTTTGTATGTGAAAAGGATTATACGTGTTTTTTTTTTCTTTTTTTTAATGAAAAATCTATAAATTCAGATTATGAGTTTAAATATATAATAACAAAGGATATTTCTATACAATCATTATTGTATATTATCTCATGTTAGCGATTTCTTCCAATTCAAGAATATTTTAAAATTTTTAAATTTCTTATTTCTAATTTTAAAAAATTTTCCAAATGTCGATTCATCGTCGACATTATTACGACGCTATAAACTCTATATAAACTCTCACAACCGCTTTCAAATCACGTTATATTTCCCTCAGGTATGATCCAGAAATTGGATATTTCCGTAGATAAATTCTGTGAATGCAATCAGCCAAGGGAAAATATTGTTGATATGTTATGATATTTTTCATATTTTTCTTCTTATTACTATATTACAATATACACATTTTCTTCATTTACAATACACGATATAATATAATTTAAACAATTTATTCAATTCATAAGGATTTCATGATCTTTAACGATTCTTCGAATATTTATACAATTTAATATAATTGTATTTCGTTCATCTATTTATTTTAATTTAATTTAATATCAAAATTCTTACATTATATACACGTTTTATTAATTTATATGTTATTAAAATTCTTATTATTTGATATATCTCTTTTAATTTGATTTCTTTAATTTAATTTAAATGATATGATATTAAACATATATAATAGAATTAAATTATCCTTGTTATTCTTCGATTTATGTATATAATAATATTCGAGATACAGACTTTCACAAAAGAAAAGTATAGAGTTTGATATAAATTTAATTTAATTTCGAAAATATAAACACTTATAATTACTATTATAAAATATGAAACTTTATAAATTAAATTATGTTATTTGGTTTCGTTTTAAAATAAAAAAACGGTATATTTAATTCTCTGTATGATAATATTGGAATTAATAACAAAATAAACTCGCATTTCACAATTACGAGTTTCTGCTAACTTGAGCCATAATTATAGCAGGATTACTTTTGCCCTGCTTTCCAGTAATATTTTAATTCCGAGATTTGAATAATGAATCATAAAGTTAATTTTATACTGAAGTTTTATATTAATTGCCATATGCATTATAATTGTAAAAGATTTTTCCTTCGAAATGATAAAAAAAATATTCACGTAATAATTTAACTATATATATATATCTTTTATTGATAATTCAATTATAATTATCTTATATTTTATACTTAAGATAAATATCTAATACAATTATAACGCAAAAAATAATATATATATATTATCTTAAAAAAAGATATAAATTCTAATATCAATTAAATAACTCATCGTACGAGAATATAATCGTTTCATTTTTTACGAGTAAAATTTAGATTTATCTTTACAGTTATCATAATCGATAATTTATCTTATATATTTTTCATTTTTAATTGATAATATATATTACTTTATCTTCTAATCATTTTTTAACAAAATCTCATATACAGTAAGCTAAACTAAAAAGATCATAACTTTTTCAAAATAATCCTTATTTAACGATAAAGTCTGTGATATCAACGTTTAATTTACCAAATCGTTATTAAAAAATATTCGCATATAAAAAATTCATCGATTGATTTCATTTCCTCAAAACGATTTTATATTAAAAATTGAATTGGTATTATGTACAATCCATTATGTTCTATGTAGCCACAAAATTTCATTAAAATCACAATTTTGAGAATTTTCGTAGTAAAAGTAGTTTACAAGCAGATTAATTTTTTGGCATATATTCTTGTGTATACTTACTATTATGAAAGTATTAATACGATATTCATAAGGATTGCGGTAAATGTACTTACTTGGCGTAGAACGAAAGGAGAATGTATCAACGATTATAAACTTTGTGCCATAATTGAATTATACTTCCCTTGCCATCATCTAAAGTTCCATACAAGTTCCATTTCAAAAATATCTTTTCCTTTATTTTATATCCTTTTATATATTTAATCACATTTTTTGTTTTCATAATTTTCAAACGACGACAAAAAAAAATTTTTATAAGAAAAATATAGCGTGTCTCGGGATATTGAGAATATTTTTATTATTATATGTCTCGCTAAATCTGTGCAATATTTAGCGATATTGACAGGTTGATATATTGACAGGGACAGATAACGAGGCTATAATATAGAAATCGTGTCTCGTATACACGTTCATGTGGCAATGTGAATGGAGACTTCATAGTGTTAGCAGAAACAATAAACTTAGAGCTCATTTCAGATCTTTGTATTGCATCGCCATATTGTCTGGCTATGTTATCTCGAAATGCCGAATTTCAAACATAATAATGTATCGATTTATTTATTTTTCCTCTTTTTATTATTATTATTATTATTATTATATTTTATTATTATTTTTCCTCGCACGCTTTACTTCTATCTATTATAATCCATATTGAAATTGAAAGCTTTTATCGGTTCGTGATAATTGTTAAAAGTTTTTTTTTTTTATTTATTTATTTTTTTTTTTTTGAAGGAAAAAAATTTCATTCCACATTCGTTAGCAAGTTTCGCAAGATTATTTCATCGTGTTATTATTTCGAAATTTTATCAGACCGCGAGTTTATTACAATATCGATTAACATCGAACCAGAAAAGCAATATATAATAAGTTGCATAGAAATATTCGCCTATCAAATAATTTTTCCAATCGAATTTCTGTACATATAAACAAAATGGAAAATAAAAAAATTGGAAAATTTTGAATAATTGCAAAGTTATTTATATTCGTACGTATTCCATGTTACGTGACATAACTAAAGGCCACAGAGAAAATCTAAAGTAACATATTTATTTTACTTTATCTATTTGCATTAAAGAAACAAAATCTCCATAATCATTTTCAAAGATTAGTTTATCTCTTACCATAACGATACAAATTCAAATTATTTGATCAATAACTCTTTCCAATTTTAATTGGCCCTACACCCGATACTACAAAAAACTCTTTGCGAAAGCTTCAGCACTCAGAGCTTATTTCAATATACGATCAAACTCAATCAGCAGGTGAAATTCACTGCAATTTAACAAGTTCGAAATCGTGGTAAGCTGTTCGAGAGGGTGGCAACACTTGCACGGCCAATAATGCGACCAAAAGTTAGCATTAAACTACTCGAACGGCCATCAGCCATTCTCTCAGATCTAACCCATCAAGTTTGCAATCAACTTACTTTATTATCAAATTATACGATAATGTATCGTTTACTATACGTCGTGCACGGTATACGTAGCACTCTACAGCACGGATACATTCTACTTAATCCGCGGGATCGCGGTCGAAGCGGCAGTGTTGAAAATTGATAAATTACACGAGTGACGCGAAAGAGTAGATTTTTCTATTCGCGTTTCGCCTCGTTAGTATATCCAGTTGACTGGCACAATCGAGAAATGAAAAGATTGCCGTGCAATATTAACCAGTCTAAAGATTGACGTCAACATTCACCTTGGAGCGTAATGATAGTACATGCGATTATAACGTTGCCTGTGTCTACTTTCTTTCAATGTGCCTCTCTCGAATAGGTAGTTATCAGTGCTGATTATTTGTTATTATTTCTTATTTACCGGTAGATCAGTCGACAAACTGAGAGAGAAGGATTCGGAGGAAATATTTTTTCGAAAAATTGAGAAAATTATCGAATTAAGCACTCTGATAGAAAAATATATATACGTTTTCAAACGTTAAAATATATTTCCATTCTATTCCTTCCTTGTGAAATTGTCGTCATTTTTCATTAAAAAAAAAAAATTGTTGCTCTGTTCCTCGATGCTTAATAGTAACTTTGCTCGATAAGATTAAATAAGGGGTCAATTAATAATGTTTGCTTTAATTCAAAGCGAATCAGATACAACGAGCGAGGTAGTGTAATTAGAGGAACAGAGACAGGGAATGTGTAATTTTATTCTGGACTCGTATGGTTACCTAACAAGACATTGGCTTGTAATTATTGAGGAACGGATCAGAGATCAGATTGATAAATTAAATGGATAATTAAATGAATAATTCTCTTTCGAGAATTGTTTTTTTTCAATGTATATTATATAGATTTGACATACGACATAATGACGTTGAATCCTCAGAATAGGAATACAATATAGTATTTGAATATCGTATTGAATAATTACTTCATCGTGCATTAAAAGTATTTATTTTGTACTCGTTACAAAAATTAATATTCATACTTTTACTTTGATTTTTTTCTTCTGTAACAAAAATTGAAATTATAAATAAAGGAATGGAATTATAAAAATCATAAATTACAAATGAATCGTCGTAAGAAGTTATTTCAAGAAATTTATTGTTGTATGAAATATATCATCTTTCTTTATGATATATTACAAGTTACTTGAATTATGAGCTATTTACGCGAGAGAATAATCGAGGAAAATATACACGAAACTCAAGCAATTAAAAATAAAAGTTATTCAAGTTATCATCATCACATAATTGTTTTATATTGAAAATGTTCATTGCACGACCAATTTATTCCCTATGTCCTCAAGTATAGTTATTCAACAAATTTACAGAAGAAAAATATCTAAAAACGTTACTCTCATTTTTCTCAAACGCGTATTGTCGATTAAATAATTTAATAAAGTAAATTAGACGAAAAATTTCCAAATCTCTTCAGAGTGATTCAGAATTAATATTTTATTGCAAATTTAATCGTCGTTTCTCGAGGAAAGAATGCGTTTCGAAGAATTTCTCATTCCATGGGAATCACTTGAACACAATTTACGTCACGATTCGAGTAATAATACATTTTTGATGTTTGCAGATATCTTAAATTACATCTACAGTATTATTGTGGAATACAGTAAAATGTACGTCATTAAACACTCAAATCATACATGTTATCTTATTATATAAAGGGTTGCCTCTTCATTGATATTTCAATCGTTTTTACTTGGAGCAAAAGGAAGGATCTATTTTCTAAAATTTCTTCACCAAATACACGTAAGATTGTAATTCTTTTTAAAATAAGGATTTTTAACGTCTCTTATTTTCAGTGTTAATATTTGCTTAAAATAACACAACGAATTCTGTTTAAACGAATCTTTTTTCTCTTTTTAAACAAAATATACAATATTTTTATTAATATGTTAAATAAATTATATATTTAACAATGATATTAAAATAATCGAAAGTTCAATTCAAATGAAATTTAAATACTATAATAAATCTGATCTTTATAATTATATTATAACAGATCATTCTGAATTATTCATAGTAAATAGAATTCAAATGTTCCAAGAATTTTTTATATATAATTTAGTCCCATCAACGATTGATCGAATGATAGAATAATATTCGAATATTTGTTATTCGGATATCTGAAAAAAAAAAAAAATGGTCGCTCAACACTTGTAGCTGAATTAAGCTAACTTTGAGTCTTCACGACGACCTTGTAAATATCGAGGCGTTGTACAAAGTAGCTGGATAAAAGCGAGCCGCGGTTACTTTTTACTGACGAGATAAAATAAGGGTCGCTCGCTCGAGACAATCGACCCTGATCGCCATTCGATCGTAGAATGAATATTAACGCGGCACACACGAACGTAAGGGGACACTAATCACCCTTGTCTCTCTCTGTTACAGATCGACGAGATGCCACTGTCAGAGTTCCGTAAAAAGAAGTTACTCTACGTTTTTAACACCTTCTTCGGTGAGTGTACACCGCTCTACTCTATGATATATTCCTAGTGTGTTTCACATCCGAAGCGTATATAATTGATTTTATAAAGTTTATTCATTCATTAACTGTATCTATATTTAGAAGTTTCGTATCCGCTCGTATTTCTTCACTTCCTATGAATTTACATTTAAATTATCGAATAACATTCTTGAAAACAAAAATAATAATCAAATGATCACGTTGCATTGATCTTTTCTTTTTTCTTTTAAACATTTAAAATATCTTTCTTATAATTCCAATCTTTCTTTCTGCTTTTCTATATTTTTTAATTATAATATGATTCAAAACAAGATCAAGGCAACGTTGATTTTTTCCTAAGAAACGTTAAAGAACATTTAAAATATGTTTCTTATAACTCCAATCTTTCTTTCTACCTTTCTATATTTTTTAATGATTCAAAACAAAGAAGCACTAAGGAACATTTAAAATATGTTTCTTACAACTCCAATCTTTCTTTCTGCCTTTCTATATTTTTTAATTATAACGATTCAACAAAATCAACGTTGATTTTTTCTTAAGAAGTACTAAAGAATATTTAAAATATGTTTCTTATAATTCCAATCTTTCTTTCTGCCTGTCGATATGTGTTAAGTATAACGATGCAACAAAATCAACGTTGACTTTTTCTTCAGCCGCCCTAACGAATATTTAACATATGTTTCTTATAACTCCAATCGTTCTTTCTACCTTTCTATATTTTTTAACGATTCAAAACAAGATCACCGTTGATTTTTTCTTAAGAAGTACTAAAGAACATTTAAAATATGTTTCTTACAACTCCAATCTTTCTTTCTACCTTTCTATATTTTTTAATTATAATATGATTCAAAATAAGATCAAGGCAACGTTGATTTTTTCCTAAGAATCACTAATAAATATTTAAAATATGTTTCTTACAACTCCAATCTTTCTTTTTGCCTTTCTATATTTTTTAATTATAACGATTCAAAACAAG